GTGCTGTTAAGAAGGCAGACTTTCGCTTTATTATGGACAGACTTCTCCCCATCTTAGCTACTGTTGCATCAATATGTTTTGACCATGACAGTTTACAATCCAGGGTTACTCCAAGCAGTTTAGTCACCTCAACAATTTCCACATTATTTATTACAAGACTTAGTTGAGGTTTAGGGTTTAATTAATGATTTGTCCCAAATACAATGCTTTTAGTTTGAAATATTTAGGATTAATTTATTCCTTGCCACCCACTCAAACTAATTGGAACTCTTTGTTAAGTGTTGCAGTCATTTCAGTCGCTGTAGTAGCTGACATGTATAGTGTTGAGTCATCCGCATACATAGACACTCTGGCTTTACTCAAAGCCAGTGGCATGTCCTTAGTAAAGACTTAATAAAGTAAGGGGCCTAGACAGCGGCCCTTGGGAATTCCTGATTCTACCTGGATTTTGTTGGAGAGGCTTCCATTAATGAACACCCTCTGTGTTCTGTTAGACAGGTAACTCTTTATCCACAATATAGCAGGGGGTGTAAAGCCATAACATACGTTTTTCCAGCAGCAGACTATGATCAATAATGTCAAAAGCTGCACTGAAGTCTAACAAAACAGCCTCCACAATCTTTTTATCATCAATTTCTCTCAGCCAATCATCAGTCATTTGTGTAAGTGCTGTGCTTGTTGAATGTCCTTCCCTATAAGCATGCTGGAAGTTTGTTGTTAATTTGTTTACTGTAAAATAGCATTGTATCTGGTCAAACACCATTTTTTTCCTAAAGTTTACTAAGGGTTGGTAACAGGCTAATTGGTCGGCTATTTGAGCCAGTAAAGGGGGCTTTACTATTTTTAGGTAGCGGAATTACTTTTGCTTCCCTCCGAGTGGCGCAGCGGTCTAAGGCAATGCATCTCAGTGCTTGAGGCATCACTACAGACCCCCTGGTTCGATTCCAGACTGTATCACAACCTTGAGCTCCGAGATAGGACATTGTTTTTGCACCAGGAACGCTCACATTTCTTACCATGGAGCTGCCCAAAATCACGGCTGGCGAGAAGGACGAGGAAATCCACCCACTCACACGCTTCACAGGATGCAGGCCTCCGACAGATGGAGAAGCCAGAGCAGGGACGGAAGGTTGCCGACTTCGAAATCGAGGGGAATAGGCACGGCGGCCACAGACACAGGCACCCCCAGCGACAAAGGTGCAGGAAGATCAGGCTCCAGGACGGCGAAACTATTTGTTGTTTGTATCCGCTCCGGGCCTCTCGTTGGGAGTGTAGACTGCTTTGCGGGAGGCCGCTGTCTTTGGCTTCCACGGCTCGTGACATGCGACCATCGTCGATTGCCTTTCTCCTCATGTTGTGCTCCTTCGACGGCGCTATCAGATGGAGGAGCTCCGGGCAACACCGGCCAGTTGGATAACGACAAACGACAAGGCGGAGATGCATCCAACAAGGGTAAAAGCCGTCCAGCCACCGGCGTAGAAAATGTAAACATTCGACTCTGCGTTTTCCCCAGTTTCTTACGTAGGCTGGCGACCTGCGACCTGCGTGATCAAGGAAGCCACCTCAAGCCTATAATCCTCAGTAAGTAAACAATTGCCGCATTTGAACTCCGAGTGATCCGGTTTGTCCCGAAACAAAGCGTAATAGATACAGCTCCTACAGCGCTGGAACCGTTCATTTAGTTCTCCAGACAAAGAGGACTCCATTGGAAAACTCATCTGGTACTAACTTCATTAGCTTGATGGCTAGCAGCTTAGTGTCTCTGTCAAGCAGGCTTCAACCTGTCTCTTAAGCGGGATTCAGGGATAAGAAATAGCGGTCCTAGCTGTTAAAAACGATCTGCGTCGTGGAATCCACGCAAAAACAAGTTCTGTATTCGTATTTATGAATAGCGTTGTTGTTTTAATCAAAAACAACAAACCGAGTGTTTTCCAGCATACAATGTTCAGCTGCGCACTCTGATGAAGTATGTGGATTGTAGCTTGTTTTTGGTCAACAACCTAGCGTACGAGCAACAACCTAGCGTACGAGCAACAACCTAGCGTACGAGCAACAACCTAGCGTACGAGCAACAACCTAGCGTACGAGCAACAACCTAGCGTACGAGCAACAACCTAGCGTACGAGCAACAACCTAGCGTACGAGCAACCACCTAGCGTACGAGCAACCACCTAGCGTACAAACAACCACCTAGCGTACAAACAACCACCTAGCGTACAAACAACCACCTAGCGTACAAACAACCACCTAGCGTACAAACAACCACCTAGCGTACAAACAACCACCTAGCGTACAAACAACCACCTAGCGTACAACCAACCACCTAGCGTACAAACAACCACCTAGCGTACAAACAACCACCTAGGGTATGCTCTGTAACACTCTTTGTATGTACATAGTCAATGGTAGGCTTCGAGAAGACTCCTATGGTAGGTACACCTATAGCCCATCCCTTGGCAGTAGTACTGTACAGTAGACTACTTTATCACTACCTCAACCCAGAGTCTCTCAGAGCGTTCACATTCAGCCCACTGACACCCCTATCAGATCACAGAAAAATCACAGTCTACTTGAACAGAGCAATACTCAACCATGAGGCATCAAAGCCAAAGGACCTGAATAATATTAAGAAATGCTATAGATGGAAGGAAAGTAGTGTGGAAACCTACCAAAAAACAATTAGGCAACAACAAATTCAATCCCTTTCAGACAACTTCCTGGACAAAACGTTTCACTGTAATAGTGAAGGTGTAAACTTGGCAGTAGAAAACCTAAACAGTATATTTGACCTCTCAGCTTCCCTATCAGATCTAACAAATTCAAGCAGACAACCTGAGCAAATTAACAACAATGACAAATGGTTTGATGAAGAATGCAAAAACCTAAGAAAGAAATTGAGAAACCTATCCAACCAAAAACAGAGACTCAGAAAACCTGAGCCCACGCCTTCACTATGGTGAATCACTAAAACAATACAGAAATACACTACGGAAAAAGAAGGAACAGCATGTCAGAAATCAGCTCAATGTAACTGAAAAATCCATAGACTCTAACCACTTCTGGGAAAAGTGGAAAACACCAAACAAACAATAACATGAAGAGTTATCTATCCAAAAACGGAGATGTATGGATAAACCACTTCTCCAATCTTTTTGGCCCTATAACAAAGAACAAATAGCAAAAACATATTACATGATCAAACACCAATTTTAGAATCAACTATTAAAGACTACCAAAACCCACTGGATTCTCCAATTACATTGAATGAACTACAACCCAAAAAGGCCTGTGGTATTGATGGTATCCTAAATGAAATGATAAAGACCACAAATTCCAATTGGCTATACTTAAACTCCTTAATATCATCCTTAGCTCTGGCATCTTCCCCAATATTTGGAACCAAGGACTAATCACCCCAATCCACAAAAGTGGAGACAAATTTGACCCCAATAACTACCGTGGGATTTGCTTCAACAGCAACCTTGGGAAAGTCCTCTGCATTATCATTAACAGCAGACTCGTACATTTCCTCACTGAAAATAATGTACTGAGCAAATGTCAAATTGGCTTTTTACCAAATTACCGTACGACAGACCACGTATTCACCCTGCACACCCTAATTGACAAACAAACAAACCAAAACAAAGGCAAAGTCCTCTCATTCTTTGTTGATTTCAAAAAAGCTTTTGACTCAATTTGGGACAAACACCAAATTGAGACTGCATGCAGAATTCTGCAAAAATATCCTCTGTGTACAACGTAAAACACCAAATAATGCATGCAGAGCAGAATTAGGCCTATACCCGCTAATTATCAAAATGCAGAAAAGAGCCGTTAAATTCTACAACCACCTAAAAGGAAGCGATACCCAAAACTTCCATAACAAAGCCATCACCTAAAGAGAGATGAACTTGGAGAAGAGTCCCCTAAGCAAGCTGGTCCTATTCACAAACACAAACAGACCACACAGAGCCCCAGGACAGCAACACAATAATACCCAACCAAATCATGAGAAAACAAAAAGATAATCACTTGACACATTGGAAAGAATTAACAAAAAAACAGAGCAAACTAGAATGCTATTTGGCCCTAAACAGAGAGTACACAGTGGCAGAATACCTGACCACTGTGACTGACACAAAATTAAGGACATCTTGGACTATGTACAGTGTGCAATCACAGAAGCAAGATTTGTGACCTGTTGCCACAAGAAAAGGGCAACCAGTGAAGAACAAACACCATTGTAAATACAACCCATATTTATGTTTATTTATTTTCCCATTTGTACTTTAACTATTTGCACATCGTTACAACACTGTATATAGACATAATACGACATTTGAAACGTCTTTAATATTTTGGAACTTCTGAGTGTAATGTTTACTGTTCATTTTTGTTTATTACCTACTTCACTTGCTTTGGCAATGTAAACATATGTTTCCCATGCCAATAAAGCCCTTCGAATTGAAATTGAATTGAAAGTGGCTCGACACAGCAACAGGCCCCAGCGAAACAGGTACAGGGGCAGGCAGACACTTTCATGAGGATAACGTACTTCACTGTTTGACCAAATCATGGTTTTAGCCTTGTAAAAAATAGGACACTTTGAGTGAGGAGACCATGTAGAATGTGCAGCTCGCACCGATGCGACCAATTAAAAATGTAACTCGCACAGCCAATTCAAAGGGTCGCAAAATGCTACTAAATGGTCGCAGTCTGGAGACCGACGCTCGCTTTGTGACTGACAGGCGCAGACTACAGACTTTTCTGAGTAGCGAATTGAAATGTTTAAAAGGAGAAGCCTAGTTAATTTATGAATTGGAAAAAGTAGCCGCCGAAAATAAGTCTGTTACCGGCTGTTTAGCCGACAGCCGGCGCTTAGGGAAAACACTGCTGAAGGTTGGGAGTTGAGTAACGCTCACCTTCTTCAGACGGAAGATCTTCTCTCTGCCGATGTTGTCCTCCGCCTGTTTCAGTCCCAGCAGCTCTTTGGCTGACAGAGCCGACTCATCCACCACCGGCCCCTGGTCCTCCTCACCTAGACACCGCCTCCAGTTACGGTTCCTACGATTCCTGCCCCCTGGAGGCACACAAACTACGTTACCCAGAGACCTCCTTCCCACTGGAGAGACAAACTACGTTACCCAGAGACCTCCTTCCCACTGGAGACACAAACTATGTTACCTAGAGTCCTTCACACACTTTTGACTCCACGGCCGTGTTCGAGACCATTAAATCTGTGATGTTTCATGGGTAAATTGTGACTGACTGATCTACAAATAAGATTGAGTAGTTCATTACGATGCAAGGTGATGCGTCTCGACTCGCCTTTAAAGTTGAATGCGCCCCATGCCTACTGAAGATGAGACTTTGTCTGGGTGTTGGTTGGCTGAGCTGAGAGGTCTCTTGCCATTTGCTCCCTGTCCTTCCTGACTACATTACCCAGAGTCGTCGACACCCCTACCTGTCTACATGCCAGGAGGTGTACTACATTACCCAGAGTCGTCGACACCCCTACCTGTCTACATGCCAGGAGGTGTACTACATTACCCAGAGTCGTCGACACCCCTACCTGTCTACATGCCAGGAGGTGTACTACATTACCCAGAGTCGTCGACACCCCTACCTGTCTACATGCCAGGAGGTGTACTACATTACCCAGAGTCGTCGACACCCCTACCTGTCTACATGCCAGGAGGTGTACTACATTACCCAGAGTCGTCGACACCCCTACCTGTCTACATGCCAGGAGGTGTACTACATTACCCAGAGTCGTCGACACCCCTACCTGTCTACATGCCAGGAGGTGTACTACATTACCCAGAGTCGTCGACACCCCTACCTGTCTACATGCCAGGAGGTGTTGGTTTACCTGAGTGAACTGTGTTGTCAACGTTGTCTCTCCTCTGCTCCCTGTCCTCTCCCCGAGAAGTTCTCCTCCAGAACTGTGAAGGGCGCGCTCTCCAGTTCTCCTCCCGGCCCTCGGCCTGCTGGCTCTCTGGGTACCTGCAAATAATGTTAGCATGGCATCTTAGCGTGACATGTTTTTTCCTATGGGAAATTCTAACTGTTCAGTCTTAGCGTTGGTACCTGGCTCTCTGGAAGTCCTCCCTCTGAGAGGGGCTGTGGCCTTCCTTGAATCCCCCTCCAGGGGAGCTGCTCAGTGACTCCATCCCTCCCTTCTTGGCGCTGGCGCGGTGGATCCCTCCCTGGCCTCCCCTCTTCCCCTGGCCACGCCTCTCCGGCTTGGGGCTGTATCCTCTCCCTGCATCCTGGTTCCTCCAGGTCTCAGCTTCGTCTGCCACAGGGCCCCTCTTCCTGTCTTCCCGCTTGGGGTAGCGTGGCCTGCCTCCTGACTCTTCCATGGTGTTTCTACTAGGCCTGTTGTGTGACAATGAGAGAGAGATGTCATCCATTAGGGGTGGCAGGTAGCTTAGTGGTTAAGAGCGTTGTGCCAGTAACCGAAAGGTCGCTGGTTCTAATTCCCGAGCCGACTAGGTGAAAAATATGTCGATGTGCCCTTCAGCAAGACACTTAACCCTAATTGTTCATGTAAGTCGCTCTGGATAAGAGCGTCTGCTAAATGACTAAAATGTAGTTACTACTACCTCTGGGGAATGTAGTGGCCACTAGCTCTGGCCCAGGGTGTTGTCCTTAACGAAGCCCTGGACAAGAGCTACGAGCTCATAAAGGGGCCCCTATAATGACCGTTCATTCGTTTGGCTTACTTCTACATCTGTTAGCTAGCTAGCTACTTCCTCAAAACCTAAGCGAGTTCATTAGCTATCATGCCAAACTAGTTACCTAGCTAGCTATGAAGACTCACCTCAGGAACGGAGACGGATAAACAGTTTACTGAAAAGTTGTGTTTCTTCCATTACTTCAGGAAGTCCTCTCTAAACAACCCACTTCAATCCCCATGATATTTAGCGCTAGTCTACCAAACCCCACATAGAACATGGAGAGTTTACGGACATTACAGGCGACTGCTGACTGACTGATCTACAAACAACCTTGCATCATAAATAACTAGTCATTATTATTTGCAGATCAGTCAGTCACAATTTACCCATGATACATCACAGTTTTGATCCACTCGAACACAGCAAAATACTTATTCCTAAAACATAACAAACGAGTTAATTAACTATCATGCCAAACTGCTAGCTAACTATTAAGGCCCAACTGTTTACTAACAAATTGTCAGCACGTGTGGTTGACTATTTTGCTACTGATCACATTAACTAAGCCATGCGTTACATTTTAAAACAACTTGACTGGCAAGTAGTTTTTTTCTGAGCGCTAGCTATCCAACGTTAGCTGTTAGCATGTTGTCACAAGGTTACTGGCTAACTATGCTAGCCACCACGACGTGACATTCAGCTACCTTGCTAACGTTACTGACTTGTCGCTTAGCTAAGGACTATGTGCTGGCATGTGTTGGATCTATTCTGTACAACTGGCTAACTTGACTACAAAACCAGTAACTAACTGTCTGATTTCACCATCTGACCTTTCTGTTGTCGAATGAAACCGCTAACACCAGCTACTGTGTTTGCTAGCTGGCTACACTAGCCTGATAGCTATTCATGTTACCTGTCCATTGGGGTGCACTGCCTTGCTAATACACAAACGTACATGGTGACCATTATAGGCAGATATTTAAAAAAAAAAAATACCTTGAGTGTTTGTATGGGCAGCATACTACTGTGTTTATTCGTTATCGTATCGTTAGCTAGCTAGCTAGCCAGAAGCGCCTTCCGTACCAAATTCAATTTTCTACGCACGCGCGAGAGTTTTCAGGGGGCGCGAAACGTGTTGTCTGATGACGTTGAAATACACGTTTCACGTATTTCTCTTTTCTTTGTGTGCTTTCTGCCCTCTACTGGTGAAAAGAGTGAAGGACATGGAAAGAGATTTTAATTTAGAGGTGATGCTGCCAAGTCATAAAATAAAGAAAAGGGGCCCTTTGGGGTCCATCAGACAACTGAAGTCATATGGAGAGATTTGGTTACAAATCAAGGTTTTCGTTATTTGTGGAATTAGGAGCTCTAATAAAGATTAATCAGCCTGGATGTAAAACCATGTTATACATTTAGGGCTGGTTTCCCGGACTGAAATTAAGCAGGGGCGGTAGGTAGACTGGCAGTTAGGGGCGTTGGGCCAGTAACCGCAAAGTTTCTGGATCGAATCTCTGTGCCGACAAGGTAAAAATCTGTCGTTCTGCCCTTGAGCAAGGCAATTAACCCTAATTGCTCCAGGGTCTCCGTCAATAATGGCTGATCCCTGGCCGTGACCCCACTCTCCGAGGGTCTCAGGGGGAGTGCGATATGCAAAAAACACATTTCCATTTCCTGTACAGGTTACCCACTTGTACACACGGTGAAACAGGACTATATAAGCAGTCAATCATTTAAATCCGCTATTCAGTTAAGCACTTTAGACCTCATGTTAGCTCATTCAGTACAAATACTTCATAGGTCAGTATGATCACAGTTAACATGAGCTTTGTCCTAAATAGTACCCTAGTACCCACTTTCCTATATAGTGCACTACTTTTGACCAGAACCCTATGGGCCCTGGTCTAAAGTAGTGCACTATATAGGGAATAGGGTGCCATTCTCTGGTCTAAAGTAGTGCACTATATAGGGAATAGGGTGCCATTCTCTGGTCTATAGTAGTGCACTATATAGGGAATAGGGTGCCATTCTCTGGTCTAAAGTAGTGCACTATATAGGGAATAGGGTGCCATTCTCTGGTCTAAAGTAGTGCACTATATAGGGAATAGGGTGCCATTCTCTGGTCTAAAGTAGTGCACTATGTAGGGAATAGGGTGCCATTCTCTGGTCTAAAGTAGTGCACTATATAGGGAATAGGGTGCCATTCTCTGGTCCAAAGTAGTGAACTATATAGGGAATAGGGTGCCATTCTCTGGTCCAAAGTCATTTACATTTACATTTACATTTTAGTAATGTACTATATAGGGAATAGGGTGCCATTCTCTGGTCTAAAGTAGTGTACTATATAGGGAATAGGGTGCCATTCTCTGGTCCAAAGTAATGTACTATATAGGGAATAGGGTGCCATTCTCTGGTCTAAAGTAGTGCACTATATAGGGAATAGGGTGCCATTCTCTGGTCTAAAGTAGTGCACTATATAGGGAATAGGGTGCCATTCTCTTGTCTAAAGTAGTGCACTATATAGGGAATAGGGTGCCATTTGGGACAAACCCATGGATATTCACCTGGTCAAATAGCATCTGATATCAACCACCTCAGCTACAATAACTAGACCAACAATCAAAGATCACCTATCTGTCCTATTAGAGGGTGAGTAACATGGTTAAATGCTTCCTGAAAATATGACTATCAGTTGTCTTCTGTACCACTACCACCAATGTCTGTTACCACACCGAAGTCCTGTACCTACCCCATGCCTGTTAATAACTGAATGTCTGTACTACACCGATGTCCTGTTACCTACACGAATGTTGTACTAACGAATGTCCTGGTACTACCAACCAATGTCCGGTTATAACCATTCCTAATCAACCAATGTCTGGTTCCTACCAACCGAATGTCCTGTTACCTACCAACCGAATGTCCTGGTACCTACCAACCGAATGTCCTGTTACCTACCAACCGAATGTCCTGGTACCTACCAACCGAAATGTCCTGTTACCTACAACCGAATGTCCTGTTACCTACCAACCGAATGTCCTGTTACCTACCAACCGAATGTCCTGGTACCTACCAACCGAATGTCCTGTTACCTACCAACCGAATGTCCTGGTACCTACCAACCGAATGTCCTGTTACCTACCAACCGAATGTCCTGTTACCTACCAACCGAATGTCCTGTTACCCTACCAACCGAATGTCCTGTTACCTACCAACCGAATGTCCTGGTTACCTACCAACCGAATGTCCTGTTACCTACCAACCGAATTCCTGTTACCTACCAACCGAATGTCCTGGTACCTACCAACCGAATGTCCTGTTACCTACCACCGAATGTCCTGTTACCTACCACCGAATGTCCTGTTACCTACCAACCGAATGTCCTGTACCTACCACCGAATGTCCTGTTTACCTACCACCGAATGTGCCTGGTAACCTACCAACCGATGTCCCTGTTAACCTACCAACCGAATGTCCTGGTTACCTACCAACCGAATGTCCTGTTACCTCCCACCGAATGTCCTGTTACCGTAAAAACCAACCGAATGTCCTGTTACCTACCCAACCGAATGTCCTGTTACCTACCACCGAATGTCCTGTTACCTACCAACCGAATGTCCTGTTACCTACCAACCGAATGTCCTGTTACCTACCAAACCGAATGTCCTGTTACCTACCAACCGATTCCTGTTACCTACCCCAACGAATGTCCTGGTACCTACCAACCGAATTGTCCTGTTACCTACCAACCGAATGTCCTGGTACCTACCAACCGAATGTCCTGTTACCTACCAACCGAATGTCCTGTTACCTACCAACCGAATGTCCTGTTACCTACCAAACCGAATGTCCTGTTACCTACCAACCGAATGTCCTGTTACCTACCAACCGAATGTCCTGTTACCTACCAACCGAATGTCCTGTTACCCTACCAACCGAATGTCCTGTTACCTACCAACCGAATGTCCTGTTACCTACCAACCGAATGTCCTGTTACCTACCAACCGAATGTCCTGGTTACCTACCAACCGAATGTCCTGTTACCTACCAACCGAATGTCCTGGTACCTACCAACCGAATGTCCTGGTTACCTACCAACCGAATGTCCTGTTACCTACCAACCGAATGTCCTGTTACCTACCAACCGAATGTCCTGTTACCTACCAACCGAATGTCCTGTTACCTACCAACCGAATGTCCTGTTACCTACCAACCGAATGTCCTGTTACCTACCAACCGAATGTCCTGTTACCTACCAACCGAATGTCCTGTTACCTACCAACCGAATGTCCTGTTACCTACCAACCGAATGTCCTGTTACCTACCAACCGAATGTCCTTACCTACCAACCGAATGTCCTGTTACCTACCAACCGAATGTCCTGTTACCTACCAACCGAATGTCCTGTTACCTACCAACCGAATGTCCTTTTCTACCAACCGAAGTCCTTACCTCCAACCGAATGTCCTGTTACCTACCAACCGAATGTCCTGTTACCTACCAACCGAATGTCCTGTTACCTACCAACCGAATGTCCTGTTACCTACCAACCGAATGTCCTGTTACCTACCAACCGAATGTCCTGTTACCTACCAACCGAATGTCCTGTTACCTACCAACCGAATGTCCTGTTACCTACCAACCGAATGTCCTGTTACCTACCAACCGAATGTCCTGTTACCTAC